TTTCTCTTTCTCCTCATCTTTCAAGTCCCAGCTCAACCTTTCCTGGTATATACCTATTAAGAAAACCCTCTTGTGAACAAACTAAGCTCTCCCACTTCAGGACCTTTCCCTCCAAAGCCAAACAAATTGCTCTCTCAGTTCATTCACTTTACTGTACACTCAAATGCACCTTATAAAGAAGATTTCTCTAGCCATCTCATCTAAAAACACACTTTCCCAGCACACTCATCCCTGTTATATTTTTCTTCATAGCATATAATTTATGTTTAGTCTATCTCAACTCATTGGAATGTAAGCTCAATTAAAGCAAGGACTTCGTTTTTTTTTAAAAAAAAAAACCTAGAACAGCACCTGACCCATAACAAGCACCAAATAAAGATCTGAATGAATGAAACATGATTATTTGTAGATAAGTAGCAACAAGGATGCTGTGGAGGCTCTACTTCTAATAGTACTTTTTTAACCAGCCACTCCTTGGAAGGAAGGTTGGGCAATCTACTTCTCTGTAGTGATACTGCCTCAGAAACCCAAGGAGGGGTCGCTATGTGTCAGATATGACTCTATGGCAGTGAATTTGGTGTTTGGTTTGGGAAGTATTTCTCATATTCAATAGTTTGTCCTATAGGAAAGCCCCACCTGACAGTCCCAAATGGGGAGGGGAAGTAGTGATGGAGGCAGCAAATGACTTTAAGAGATGTATGTAATGAGGCAAACAGCAAGGAATCTGGAATCAGACAAGTTCTAGTTCTAATCTCTGTGCAACTTTAAGCATGCCCTCAGTCTCTACAAAACATATAGCAACTGTCTTAGCTTCCTAGTGCTGCTATACCAAAAATGCCACAAGAGGCTTTAACAAACAGAAATTTATTTTTTCACAGTTTAGGAGGTTAGAAATCTGAAGTCAGGTTATCAGCTCTAGGGGAAGACTGTCAGCTCTGGGGGAAAATCCTTGTCACAGCTTCTCTAGCTCCTCTATTCTTAGGTTGTTGACAATGTCTACATGGCATGTATCTTTCCCCTGTTTGTGCTTGCTTGCTTCTATACCTAATCTGTAATTTTTATGTCTCAAAAATGATAAGGTTTAAAGTATACCCTACACTGATATGGCCTCATTAACCTAACAAAGAAGACTCTGTTCCAAAATGGGATTATATCTACACACACAAGGGTTAGGATTCCAGTATATATTTGGGGAAAAACAGTTCAAACAACACTAGCAGCCCATATAATGAGGATCATGGAAAATGATGTACATGGAAGAAGCTTAAGTATGAAGTATCATACCCTGTAGGTAAACTATCACTAATGACCAAAATTAAGCTCAAATTGTTAATTTGAAAACAGCTATCAAGATTAAAACTAAAAAAACTCATTGCCATCAAGTCGATTCTGAGTCACAGTGACCCCCATTGGGTTTCCAAGGCCGTAAATCTTTACAGAAGCAGACTTCCTCATTTCTTCCACAGACTGGATAGTAGGTTCGAACCACCAACCTTTCAGTTAGCAGCCTTAACCACTATACCACTGGAACTTCTTGTAAATGCCACCAAAAAAAGAGTCCATTCTTAAAACTATTTAATACATGTGGATGCTTATTTACATATACATATTTTGGAGGGAAAGCATACTTCTAAAGAATATACAATGAAAATGAACCTGCTTATTAGAAAACTCTTACCTGCAATCCTGCCACATATCTAATTTGTATGTACCCTTTTTGCTAGGGTTTCAGGCAAATAGACTCCTGACGTCTACAGACCTGTAATTCTAGTAGAAGAAATGAACTGCAAATCTCTTAAAGAATACTATGAGCCTCCTGGAAATCTTTGGTTATTTATGGTTTTTACCCACTGTTTTCTTGCTGGTTAATAAAAGCAAACCACTCAACCACTTCTCTATATCATGTCTCTAAAAATTCCCCAGAACAGGTTAGCATTACTTGCTGCATTTGGTACATAAGAAAATCAAGCTCTACCTCCTCTAAAAACCCAATCTTGATATTGAAGCCACACCAGTTTCTTCCTAACCTGACCACTTATAGTGTTAGTGATGAGCAAACACTTGGGTGTTAGATCATACACCACGTCTGTATCATGTTAAATGTCTTCTTTGTATGTCAAGAACTGAGCACATTCCTCAAATATCCCCGAGAGAAATTAGTATAAGGCTTCATTAGTACAGGATAGATGCTCAAAAAATACTAAAATGAATTAAATTTAAAATGAAATTGTACTGATTTGTTTCATAAGCAAAACACTAATTAAATTGAACTTAAAATGAAACTGCAGTAACTTGTCTCGTAAGCACACAAGGAAATTAGGAACAGAATCAAATTTAGAACTCTCACTTACTTAGTTTCAAATTTAATTCATAACCTACCAAAACAACACTGATTATTCACATTACTGATATTTTAATTTTGTCTGTAGGCAAACCTCCATGAGGTATTCCACCCTCCACTCCAATAAGACAGAATTGATCCACTTCCTCTTTATAAGGCCCCAAATCATTTCTGTCACAGAAGTCTAACAGTTTATTGCTCTTGTGTTGACAAGTCTACTACCCAAGTAGATGTTAAGGTCCTCAAGACAAGAATGCCACTTATCTACCTTTTTTCCCCTTGCCACCTGAGCCTAACACAGTGAGCCACACAATAACAGTAACTATTTGAGAATGTTGAAAGAGACAAAACAAACGTTTATGCAAAACCCAAAATGTTGACAAGGTTTGACTATAAAGCAATGAGTTCAACTTCCATAATTAGTTTATCATCCCAGATTAAAAGTGTTTAAATGAACCCTGGCATTCTTTTAAAACTTTAAGTTTTCTAAAATAAACCCTTCCTGACCTTTGCCTGGCACTTTATTGGGAAAACAAACAGACTACTCAAATTCCACTCCTCTGTTTAAAGAGGAAGGAAAAAGAATAAGAAGAAAATCTAAATCTCATCATCATATAAGTGGTCAAGTAACTTTTATGGAGCAAATATTCTTAACTGTATCAGAACATTTTGAATTGAATATGAACTATTGAAGTTTGACATATGCATGAATTATGCTACAACCTCACAGATTAGGCTACAACCTTACAGATAAGTTGTAAATAAATTATTATCACTTGAGAATGAAGAGATGTCTCCTTCCTTCAAGCAGCTGCAAGCCTTTTAGTCAATGTTTCAATTTAATGAAATTCTATCTTTGCTAAATCCTTAGAACACCTATCTACACTAATCCTCCTAACTTTTTCATGTACAGATTGACCTCGAAGTTTACAACCATGAGGGGGCTGATAATTATGTCACATATATGCCCCAAAGCTGAAGAGTGAGGGCTTTTCAGTGAGAGTCTGCTAGAAAAAGGCAGAACACTGTAGAAAGACTATGGCCTTTGGAGTCAGGCTTGGGTTTGCGTAAATCTTGACTCTAACACCCACCCGGCAACGGTATAACCTTGGGCATGTTACTTATTATCTCTGAATCTCTATTTTCACATAGGTAAAATACAGATAATTCAAAATTTCTAGAGCTATTATGAGAACTACTGTATACACACACACACACACACACGTATATATACATACACACATATAATAATCTCCACACATACAGTGATCAAACAAACAAAAAAAATACCACCCAAACCTGTTGCTATTGAGTTGATTCCAACTCATGGTGAACCCATGTGCTGGAGAACAGAACTATTCCATAGGATTTTCAATGGCTGTGATCTTAGTAAATTACCAGCCCTTTCTACCATGGTACCTCTAAGTGGATTTGAACCACCAACCTTTCAGTTGGTGCTTAATTGTTTCGCCACCTAGTGGAACAATTGTTAGTTTCTATTCCTTCTCTTTCATAGCCAAAAGGTACTCATTCAACACTCCTTATTAGTCACAGCAATAGCTTCATCTTCTATTTTGGGGCCATCTGTATGCCTGCTGGCAGCCTGGTCACAATCCATTAAAACATTTACACATATATTCAAGATGATCAGAGCCAGTTCTTTAAAAGATACAGTCCTTGATGAAAAATGTAACAGCTTCATAAGCAGTCTTCTCTTTCTGCCTTTGGTTCCAAGAACAATCATTTAACAGTACAACTGCTTTCAATAAGCTTTTCTTTATTTTGGCTCCCACTGACTTGTGGGAACTGTCACTGTCATTAGAATGAATAACCAACACATGTATTCTGAAGAAGTTACTAGTCAGGGGTATCATTAGAAGCAATCTTGGCACAGAAATCCTTGGCAGAAGTCTAGATTTCTACTTAGTTTGCAAAATCATGCAAATTTTAACAATATGCTATCAGTGTTTTCCTATGAATGTGGACTTGTTTTGGAGGAAAATTCTTCTCTGGATTTATTTCACTACTCCTCTACTCTGGATCTATTGAGCTAAATATTGCAGAAAGTGGATAAACTATTACATTAACTGCTATCTACATGGTTAAGTGACCACAAAGTACTAAATATCTCCTAGGGGAAAAATAGCTTGAGACTTAAGCCTGGATAACAACTCTGTACCAAAGCACAAAGCTTCTCATGAAGCCTAGCATTTCAAGAATTTTACTATTCAGGATTTTGTGTTTCTCAAGGAGATTTTCTACTATACCTGTTTTGTAGTTTAGGAGAAACATAAAAATTCCCTTCTATCTTTCTGGCACAAAGAAAAAGACATTAGTTGACATGCACTATTTTTATACTGACAGAGCTATTTTGAGCCATTTTAGTACTATCTAATATTTATGCCACTCCTCGGAAGGAAGATGGGGCAATCTACTTCCGTAGTGATACTGCCTCAGAAACCCAAGGAGGGGTTGCTATGAGTCGGGTCCAACTTGACAGCACATAACAAGAACAATATTTATGCCAAGGAAAAAGGTTAGCATAACACAGTAAGCTAAAAAGCAAACTCTCAGTTGTGGGTCACTTAATAAAATCTATCTTTTGGTCATGAATCATAATGCAAGTCATCAGCATAAACCATAATTAGAAAAGTCTTACCTTTTGTGCATCTCCTGTGAAATATGCAATGGCCAGTGTGGGCAAAATCATGAACAGTGCATTGTAATAGAGTAGACCATATTTTCCCAGCTCCTAGAATAGGAAATAACTAGGTGTTTTACATGGCTCTTTCAGACAGATGTATACAACCCTATACCATCCCATTACATACATATACACGCACAGCCCCCTCCCTCAGAACAGAGGCAGGAAACTAGTCAAGTCAAAAGTTTTGAAAACATTAAGAATAATCTAAGTTTTCAGAAGACAGAAAGAAAAAGAAAACAGATTTAAAAGACTGCAAAGTTATTTGAGATAAATTCAAGTGCTTAATATCAGACAAACATGACATCAAATGGCTGCCTCAAAACAGAACTCAAGAAGAGATTACTTCAAATATATATGCACACATTTATAGGTACACACCCCTAAAGCCCTTCTCTTTCCAGAACTGAATCACGAGTCATCAAGTTAGTCTTGGGCTTCTCAGACCATATCAGAGTGCCATTTAAGAAAGATGGACAAATCCAGATACAGACTCAGACCCAAACCAACACAGACACACATATCTTCCCCATGAAGTATTTCTGAAAACGTGTGTGTGAGATACAATGGAGATTAAGATTACTATTGCTAAACTCCCAAAATACAGTATGATTACTTGGGCCCCCAGATTTGGGAGGGCAATGAAGGATATCATCTTCAAGCACAGGTTTCCTATAGGAAATCTGGGCCCACCTGCAATTCACACAACTTCCAATACATCCAATGGAAAGTACAGACAAAAGAAAAAGTAGCCCAGAGTTGGGGGAAGCAGTGAGAATAGAGGTGTGATGTCTACCTAACTTCTGTGATTTGCAAGATCACCGAATGTAATTCAAAAAAGTCAAACTACCTTCTTAAAAGTAGCTTTAAAAATCTGGAAACAAAAAGCCAACAGTAAAAAACTAACCAATTAAACTGTGAGCAGCCATACAAGAAAACATATCCCAGCCACTAAAAATGTTTAGTAATGCTAATAGACGTGGAAAGGTATTCACAAAACAATATAGTGAAAAATACAGATTAGAAAATATTTTACACATACTCTTCATTTATCGACTATCTTGTTATTCAACATTTTGCAATTAACATTAAAAATCTACTATCCTACTATTTTGCACATTAATAACATATACCCAGCATATAACAAACACCGAAGTGTGAGGAAGAGTAATACTGGTTGTGATGGTTAAAGTTAGGTGTCAGCTTGGCTGGGCCATGATTCTCAGTGGTTTGGCAGTTAAATAATGATGTGATATGGCAGTTACATGCTGATGAAATATGGCAGTTACATGCTGATGAAATATGGCAATTATATAATGATGTAGTCATCCTTCATTTTGTGATCTGATGTGGCCATTCTCCAATTTTGCATCACTCTGACTTTTGCCTACTGACCTGGTCTTTGGAACCTAACCAAGTGAATAAGTGAGGAGTGGATATATATCATTTCTCTTTTGTTTAAGATTTTACATAAAGTAAAACAGCCATATACACAGGCAAAAAAGAATACCCACTAAAACAGTCCTTCTCACCTGATGGTGGGATAAAAGGACATTTATCTTTTTCTTTCTTCTCTATGTTTTCTACTTAAGTACTTCTATCACACATTTGTATTATTTATGTTTTCTTTTTTAAGATAAGTTAAAAATGGTTTGAATTTAACATCTGCATCATGTATGAAATACAGTAGTCTTTATACCACATGACTCATACTCAAAGGATCAAGATTACAAGAACTCTCAAAATTACAGGTAATGAAATTTGTAACTAAAACCTTCTCATTGTGGCCACTGTGCCCAGGATAAGCCAAACAACTAACTGCTTATGGCTACCACAGCGTCCAAGAAAATGTATGGCTCATTTCTAAGACAGCAATACATTTCAAACAGGAAGAGCCATACTAGAACAAAACCACCTCTGAACACAGATGCACATCTGCCAGAAGCATGAGGGTTAGTTCAAGTCATTCAGGAAGTAAAAGAAACTTGCATACATATACACAAATTGTCCAGATAACTGACAAATGCCAAACGTTTAAATACCAAAGTTTTTTGTTTAAAATTTACTGTTTTGAATATCTCTCTCTCTGCCTTCTTAAACAGAGTATTCTAAGTACAATTTGATTTAGGAGTTTCATCATCAACATGTATTATTGTATGGGGTTCTAATACAGTGTCGACCTTACTGCTATTTAATATAGCCTCTTTCTGTCTGTCTCTTTTTAAGTACTTCTATCTGCTTGTTACCCTCCCGAGAGGGACCGGGTCTCCGGGAACAAGCTAAGCACGGGCGGGCTTGTGCTTACTCACTGATATGCACTGAACACTTCCCTTGTTACCCTCCCGAGAGGGACTGGGTCTCCGGGAACAAGGTAAGCACGGGCGGGCTTGTGCTTACTCACTGATCTGCACTGAACAGTTTCCCTTATTACCCTCCCGAGAGGGACCGGGTCTCCGTGAGCAAGGTAAGCACGGGCGGGCTTGTGCTTACTCACTGATCTGCACTGAACACTTTCCCTTGTTACCCTCCCGAGAGGGACCGGGTCTCCGGGAGCAAGGTAAGCACGGGCGTAGCACAGAGTAGCAGGCCGGAAGAGCAGGAGAAAGGGGTAAAACCCAGGAAGCCAA